CTTCCTTTTCTTATTCCTTTCTCACTCTCCTTCCTGGTGGTGCAGTGAGTATTGTAGGCCGACTGCCCACTGTCAGGAGTTCAATCCTGACAGGCTGAAGGTTGATTCGACCTTCCATCCTTCCGAGGTGGGTAAAAAATGAGGACCCCGATTGTTGGGGGGGGAAAGGGTGACTCTCTGAAAACCGCTTAGAGAGACCTGTAAAGCCCTGTGAAGCGGCATATAAGTCTAAGTGCTGGTGCTATTAAGCTTTCTTTTTCTCTATTGCAGACCGGAATCTGAATATCTGGGAATATTGCCCCATCTCTGACAAGTGGACTAACTTTGAAACCTGTGGAATGCACATCCGCAAGCAGCAAATGTTATCAGTGGAGGAGACCATCTACATAGTAGGCGGCTGCAGCCACGACTTGGATTCCAATAAAAGAGCGGGTCAGAATGAGGATATGTTAACTGTGCAGTCTTACAATGTGGTTACCAAAGAGTGGCTCTACCTCAAGGAAAACACATCAAAATCGGGTCTTAACTTGACTTGCACTTTGCACAACGATGGAATTTACATCCTGAGCAGAGATATTATTTTGTCCACAAGCTTGGAGCACCGGGTTCTTCTAAAATATAATATATTTTCAGACCGGTGGGAGTCGCTGAGAAACTTCCCTACCCCTGGACAGAATATGTTGATCTGTTCCTTGTATTTTCCAAATCTGATCTGAATTCCATGCATGGCAGAACAGAAATTTCTCTTCATCTGTTCACCAATTCTTTTGCACAGTGGCTCCCAACTTCGGCCACTTTTAAGATGCATAAACTTCAATTCCCAGAATTCCTCAGCCCAGCATGGAATTCTGGGAGCTGAAGTCCACATGTCTTAAAAGCATTCAGGGCTGGGAAACTCTGCTTTTACAGAATGTTGACGTTACGATGCTCAAAATGTCACTATTGCAATGGATAAAGTCGGAGGAGACAAAGGAAAAAATGAGTACAGATGCAAAGTGATGTGGATCATAGACCATAGAATAACAGAGTTGGAAGGAACCTTGGAGGTCATCTAGTCCAACCACCTGCTCAAGCACGAGGGTCTATTCCAAATATTAGCCTCTATCTAGGATTGACCTCACAGTCTCCTCTGGCTTCATTGCATGTGATGTTAAGCTTGTTTAACATCAGGGAAAACACTGTGAATAAATTTACTGTTTCATATTGATGGCATCATTTTCCATCAAACTTGAAATATTCTTCCACCGGCTTTTTCCAAAACATTTTGGCTGAGGAGGTTAAATCTCATCACCACCAGGGATGTGATTTTGACTAGCGATGTGATTAAAGCCACACTGCTTTATATATCTGTATCTTGACTTTTTGGACATCTCCAAAAGCCAAGAGAGATTGAATGGGAATAATTACTTTGAGAATAGAAGGGGATCTTCTATCTTCATTATCTTCATTAGCTATTTAGATGAGGGAATAGAAGGGGAACTTACCAAATTTGCAGATGATACTAAGCTGGCAGGAATAGCTAACACCCAAGAAGATAGGCTCAAGATCCAGGTGGATCTTGACAGACTAGAACACTGGGCCATATCTAGTAAAATGAAATTCAATACAGAGAAAAGTAAAGTCCTACACTTAGGCAAGAAAAACCAAAAGTACACATATAGACTGGGTGAAACCAGGCTCAATAGCAGTAACTGTGAGAGGGATCTTGGAGTCTTAGTGGACAACCAGCTAAATATGAGCCAGCAGTGTGCAGCAGCAGTCAAAAAAGCTAATGCAATCCTAAATTGCATTAACAGAGAGATACAATCAAGATCAAGGGAGGTACTAATGCTACTCTATAAAGCCTTAGTAAGACCACACCTAGAGTACTGCATCCAGTTTTGGTCACAGCATTATAAAAAAAAATGTTGAGACTCTAGAAAAAGTGCAGAGAAGAGCAACCAGGATGATTGGAGGACTGGAGACTAAAACATATGAAGAACAGTTACAGGAACTGGGCCTGGCTAGTCTAGTGAAGAGAAGGACCAGGGGAGACAGGATAGCAGTCTTCCAATATTTGAAGGGCTGCCACAGGGAGGAAGGGGTCAAGCTATTTTCTAAAGCACTTGTAGACCAGACAAGGAATAATGGATGGAAACTGAACAAGGAGAGATTCATCCTGGAAATAAGGAGAAACTTTCTGACAGTGAGAACAATCAACCAATGGAACAGAAGTTGCCCTCGGAAGTTGTGGGAGCGCCATCAGTTGAGACTTTCAAGAAGAGATTGGACTGCCATTTGTCAGAAATGATGTAGGGTCTCCCGCTTGGATGGGGGGGGGG